CAGTAGAACATGTTTGGCAGCTCTGTCAGCTTTGTCATTGTGGTAAATTCGCCATAGATCAGTAGCCGAACTCGCAGACTGGAGTGTTCTATGGGCCTTCAGCCAAGAGATACGAGTGGATCCATATTCCCTTCGCGCAAGGAGTTTCGCAGTTGTGGCAATAAGGTCACGGTCCCTGTGGTTAATCCAGTGCTTGGTTGTATAACCATTTGCCAGAAGAGTACGTAGGATAGACACCACCGCAGAGTTGTCACAATAAACATGACATCGTTCAGAAAGTAGGAGTGCTGCATTAGTTGCATATAATTCCGCTCGAAAAACTGATTGTTGATCTCCTGGGAGCAGTCCTGCAGCTTTTGTGACATTGGAGGGTCCCTGGTCTGTCGCTTGAGTGACCGCCCACGAACAAAGCCTCAAGTCATCAAGCTCATTATCCACCGCAGAGCCATCTGTAAAAAAGATATGTTCATCTGAAGTTGCATCCAGAGCATAAATGTCATCATGTTGAACATCCTTGAGCAACTGTTTGTACTCATCCACCAAGGGCAACTTTGGGTACAGAGCACCAAATAACTGACTAGTTGGCATGTTTCGCACCGCCTCCCAAATATCCCCAGACCTGAGGTGTTCCGTCGCCGGGCAAGAAAAAACTCTATGGGTCATTGTGTCCACCTCACCACAGTAGGCACAGCAGTCATCGTTTTGTACATGTACCTTGTTTTTCCTCTGGTTAGGAAACAAACCTCCCAGCCGCATCTTGTTTATAAATCCCTCGAGCATTGCATCTTTGTGCCGTGGATACTGAGACCGTGTCGCCGAGAATGAATACAGGTCTGGCAAATATTGCTTCGGCTGAAGTTGCAGAAGGAGTTTGTCTTCCCAGGATGACGTAACTCTTTTCTCAAATTGTGCCAGTGTAATATCCCAAACGACAAAGGTCCATCCATCCGATGTGGTACATCTCCCATCCTCTTGTAGAGCCCAGTCGAGTTCAAGGAGTTGGTTTTGGAAGAGGCACACAATACCCTTGGTTTGGTTCTTGAAGAAAGTTTTCTTTTCCACCGATGTTTTCCATACCCGTTTGGTCTGCTCCATATGCTGTGTGAACATTCGCATAAACGCCCGAAATCTGGACATCGCCACCACCGGCATAGGTTCGTAGTTGCCACCGGAAAACAGAGGAGCCAGGAAATGTAAGTGGTACTGTTGCTTGCCCCAAATGGTGTGGTTGCTTTTTGCCCTGACCTCCCTCAGGAAATCCTTGCCAGTGGGCCAGCACTGGACACCAAAAAAGATCAACGGATAAATTCCACGGGTAAGAATCGCCACCTTTCTCCTCCTGTCCCATGGCATGTACTGTAGCCGGTTCAACAAAACTTTCGCCTTGTTCCATCGCTGGTTTCGCAGTGTAACAGAAAGTTTGTGTGTAGTTTGCAAGT